TTTCTAGAAAACCTATAATTCCATTGCAAAATAAAATAGACATATGACTAAGCAACGTGCGTGTAAATGACATTACACCTTTGTTATGTTCTAAATAAGTCTGTAATTATGTCATTAATCATCTTAATGCCATTATAAATTACTTACATCAACACAATATATATATCTTTCAAATTTATCCAACAAATTCCATTTCAGTCAACACATTCTAATTCAGAAGCAACACAATAACACATATATGGCATTACTATCGTTATCAACCACAAACAAACCAACAAATTGGCATTTCATAACAACATCACATGAATTTCTTATCGCCCTGTTGACAATTCACTTTTACATATTTGCTTCTAGAAATGTTGTAATTCCATTACAAAATAAAATAGACATATGACTAAGCAAAGCATAAATGCCATTAAACCTTTGTTTTGTTCAATATAAGTTTGTTGTCATTAATCATCTTAATATCATTACAAATTACTTACATTAACACAATACATATATCTTTCAAATTTATCCAACTAACTCCATTTCAATCAACACATTCTAATTCAGAAGCAACACAATAACACATATATGGCATTGCTATCGTCATCAACCGCAAACAAACCCAAATTGGCATTTCATAACAATATGTCAACATCACATGAATTTCTTATCCTCCCATTGAGAATTCACTTTTACATATTTGCTTCTAGAAAACCTATAATTGCATTACAAAATAAAATAGATATATGATAAGCAACCTATAAATGCCATTAAATCTTTGTTTTGTTCTAAATAAGTTTGTAGTTATGTCATTAATCATCTTAATGCCATTACAAAGTACTTACGTTAATACAGAAGCAACACAATATACGAAAATGCCATAATAGAAGCAATACATACCATTTTGGAGTTGATTCTAATGTCAAGCGAACTTGGCATTTCCGATGGGAAGTCAGAATCGTCATTCAGACTTTGGAAATTGGAATCATCAATCTCCATTGAAGATTGACAGATAATCGCTTCCAACGTTCTACTTTCGATTCGCAGTCACAATTGCTGTTTGCCAAATTTCTTTCACGCATGCATATCAGTTTTTAATTTTTTTGAATCCTTCTCATCTTTGGAAACTTAACTTCTGGCAAGAGGTATGAGTAGGGAATATTTAGGAAAAGCAAATGGCATTAATTGACGTTTCCTTATGGGCGTGGACATGATGGTCAAATTTGGAAATTCGTTTGTTTTTTAGTATCACGAAAATGGAAGGAAATTTGGATTCCTATTTTTTCAATTTCAGTCTTATTTGGTCCCATCTGGGGAATTTCCTCTGAGCAATAACCGGGTGTAACCTGCAAGCTTCATCCGGATCAGTTGATCGCTCCCCAATCCTCACTTTTCATTGTCTTCTCCATCTTTCTGGCTTTCATCCATCCATGGCACAAACTGCTATACGAATTGACGCCCTTCAGGCCTTCATCAGCTGCTAAAGTGCCTGAATGAACAACCGTGTTGTATCTTTTTCCTCCCAATTAACGGTAAATGTGTGGTTTATCTCTTCCGAAATCCTAAATACACTCATTTTTTCGTTTATAGTTTTGGGATAATTTTTTTATCTTATTCAACTTGGTAGATTCTTAAATTTTAATTTTGCGATTTGAAAGATTTGAAATATTGAGAATAAGTTGTTAATTGTTTGGGGTTAAATGGTTTAATTGTTTAATCAGTTAAAAGCTTACGTATTTGTTGAAGTGAATAAGTGCCAACTTTGATTAGTTAAATCTTATACCGAAGAACACTATCAAACCCCTCAATTTCTTCCTCTATCGGAAACTGATGATGAACAGCTGAACTAATGTTGCTTTACGTTAATTTACACCCAAAACTTGCCTGAATTTGATATTATTGGTTATTTTGGTCGCGAAAGAGATAGTACTTCTACATACAAGATCTAATTACAATTTATATGATGATGGATGTTTACAGGGGCGGATTGAGTCTAGGGTCAGGGAGGGCCCAGGCCCATGCTCAAATTTTTTATTGGGAATTTTACTGAAGTAAGCACGAAAACAAAAATAATATCACTTTTTTCAATTTTAAGAATTTCTTTCGTGAATGGACCAAGTCAAATTTTTCTTCAATAATAGCCTTAGGCCTTACTGCCTTGCCCCTTTAGCCGTTAGTCCAGAAGCCATATAGCATCACTTTGATTTAATAACTAAAAAAAGGAAAGTTTTCAAACGTAAACATTTTACGTAGTATAATATACGGAGAATTCGGAATCATAGGGAAAAACAAAATTGTAAATTTCAAAAGCTGAAATTAATTGTACAATAAAAACAAAACATAAGTACAAAACTATGAAAGCTCAAAATAGGAAGTATTTTTTATTTCTTATTATATTAAAATAAATATATCCTGTATAAAATATGAAATTTTTCAAAAATCTAAATTAAAAATTGTAAAGTAAATCAAAAAATAATAATTAATAAAATTTTCAAAAAAGTCATAAATTAATCTAAGTTATAAACAATGTAAATATCTAAACCTCAACAAATATGATGTGAATTGTGAAATATTAAAATATCAAACACGCAAAAAAATTTAAAATTTGAAAAAATATAAAATATGAATAAAATAAAAACTATTAAAATTATAAAAAAATAATAAATCCAAAAAATTAGGGAGAAAGGTACAAAACTGAATATCAATGTGAGAATTTTAAAATAGTAAAAAATAAAAAAGCTGAACAAATTACAAATTATGATTTTTATTAATTTTAATGGAGTTAAAAAATTTTAATTTTCCGTGTCATTTTAGTATTATATTTTGTTGCATGTTGTTGCTATATGTTTCTTCTTGTTTATTTTTGTTTCAAATTTTGCACATTTTGTTTTTTATTGTTTATTCGTGTTTCTTGTGGCAGTTTATATGCAAATTTTATATGTTTTCACACACATATACACATACATATACATTATATAGGTACATTATTGACATCCACTATCAAAAAAGGATTGAAAAAAAAAACTGAGCTAAGATCATGAAAACCAAAACAGAATAACTTGAAATTTCCAAGTAATTGCTACCATCTAAATAAATTAAATCATAGCAGGCTTGCAGCAGGACTACAACATATTCATTAGAAAATGTCATTTACAATTAAGTTGAGATCACTTCATGAGCTAATCAGTTCATGATGCCAGTAATGTATGAACATAAACTTCATAGTGACTTGTCTTCATTTCATTAGATGTAATAACCAAGGACACAAATTTGCATATTTTAAAAATGTAAAATATGAAAAGTAACATGATATATAACAAAAGGCAACAAGATAAAACAAAAAGAAATAAGGTAAAACAATAACACGATGCAACAAAATGAAACAAATGAAACATAATTCAACAAAATGAAACACGATACAACGTACAAAATGAAACACGATACAAAACATATATTCATGGATCCCGAATCCCATTGCAGAGGTTATAAGAGACTGGATGTCAATTTCAGCCTCCCCCATCATATCATTCGCAAAGAAAGTGTCATGATCGTACACTACCTGGAACAATAAGGAGACAAGTTACATGTTAGAGTAGTGCTAGACTGCTTGAGGGACACCGACATAGGATTCAAGGGTAAAGATGCTAAATTGTGTACATGGAGGACTTTTTACACATGAGGTGAACCACAAGGGTCTTGAAGTATTTTTCTCTTAGCTCATGGAAGATTTACATAAAGAGATCTTACCAGGAAATTCCTGGAATAAGTTGATATGCACATGTTTGACAAAGTGGTGAAACCTGTCTTAAATTAGTTGGAATTTCAACAGAAGTTGGTTATCTATTAAGTTGAATGTACATTCTAAATGTCATCATTGAACCACAAGTTTTGTTCTGAGTAATGATATTTGAGAACGTGTTATGCCATTTATCTAAAAAAGTACTTCTCTAAGTCTATACAATTCAACCTACTTTCAAATTGTATAATATATGATCTCCACCCATCTTATGAAATGCTTATCCAAAAACTTTAACACTTTTTATGTTCTTTATTGAGCAGATCACCGAACAAACTTATCAAGTTCTTCTAGATGCCATTCATATGAAAAAATAAAAAAGGCCTTATAACAAAAACACAAACATGAATTTAATATGATATGAATGTTTGTTAATAAAGCATGATGGTAAAAAATTGCGGTGCGCAGTCAAATTTGTTATACAATTTATTCCTTGAAATTACTTAAATTTAATAAAATTAACAATAACACTAACACAAATTTACTATCTTATAAAAAACAAGTTTTCATAAAAAGGTAAAACGCAATTTTTTTAATAAAAATTTCAAATACATAACTCAAGAACACAAAGTCACTTAGCACATTCACAAATCACATTTTCATAATTGTACACATGGATTTAACACAAATTCAATCAACAATTACAGATCTATAATTATTATATAATGCTAATATAAAAAGTAAAAAGATGTAATGAGTAAATGAAAACATATGAGGGTAGCAGAACGAACGTACCTGCACAGCCTGAAGATTGAGAAACTTAATCACTGAATCGCTGATTTGCTGAGGCGTGAGTGGTTAGCCTGCAATCTGTAGCATTAGTTTCCCATATGTGATTGAATTTGCGTCGTTGCTTCATAGAGGCCGGGGATCCGGAGAGCTGGAGAGCCAGAGAAAAGAGAGGAGAGCGGATGTAGTCAATGCTTCACAGAAGTCGGAGATCAGGAGAGCCAGAGAAAAGAGAGGAGAGCGGATGTCGTCGATGCTTCACAGAGGCTGGAACCGGAGATTAGGGAATCACTGATATAGTGAGGCGTGAGTTCTAATCTAGATGGAGGAGGCTAGAATAGTCTAAAATTGAAATAAATAAAGATAATTGAAAAAACAAAAGTTAAAAATGAAAAGTAAAAATAATTGGGACATAAATGATATTAGTCTCACAAGGTAATTTGCACTTTTTTATTCCGTATTCTTTTAACTAGTATGTAGGTTTATAAAATAGGCCCTGTCTCAAATTTTAAAAAATCAGTCCCAGTCCGAGTACTCCAAAAAGCCGTGCGGAGCAGTCCCTTACTCCTGCTTTGCCGATATCGTGAAAACCCCACGCCAAAAACGAAAAACGAACTCCAGACGGGCGACGCCGCGACGGCCATCTTCACTGCCGGACGGCCAGGACAGGACAGCGCACGGCGGCTGCAGGCTGCTACTCTAAATCCTCTAATTTCTCTTTGTCATCAAACAAGCTAAAAGCTATCCCTCTTAATAAGAAGGTAAGGTGAATGTTACTGATCAATTTCTTCCCTAAATTCAGTAAACTAACAAATTCTTGTGTATAACAGATACTTTTGAAGTTTTGAGAAGAGGAGATTTGGGGTTTTTTCGTAACATCAAAAAGGAGAAGTGCTGCCTAAGTCAATAAAGGCACAAGTGGTTAAGAGGTATTTTTTTAATCTTTTAAATTTTTTGTGTTTTTAATTCAAGTTAAAGACTAAATTACAGCTTTACTGGATATGAATTTGATTATTTTTTGTGAACTTATACATTGTAATGAATATTATTGTAAATTATGTAAATTTATGTATTGATATGAATTCAAGATTGTGTTTAAATCTTCCTGTTGCAACCGCTAGTGTTGAAAGAGTATTTTCAGCAATGAATATAGTGAAAGATAGGTTGAGCAACCGGATGAGTGATGACTGACTCAATGATAGACTTATTGTTTATGTAGAAAAAGACATCTTCTTGAAAATTGACAATGATGTCATAATCAAACGATATAAATCGATGAAAACCCGTAGAGAATAGTTGTAAAATTATGGTGTTTTTGTATTTGACTTTAATGAAAACTCTTATTCCTATAATCTTTTTTCTTGTCTTTGATTTTGTTGCTAGAATAAATGTTTTTTTTAATATTCGTTTTTAATTACATTTTGGCCTCACCTGGATGCCAAAGCTAGATCCGCCCCTGGATGTTTAGAGACATTATTACAATCTTTAAATGAAAAAGTACTTTAATTTAGTTATATTCTAGAAGAGCTTTATTTTTGTTTTAATTTTAGTGATATAAGGGTATGGTGATAAGTTGATTGCGGTAATGGAAGGTATTTAGATCTGTTATAACGTAAAACTTTGTGTTTGCAAAGAGAGAATTAGTATGACGTGAATTGCAGGACAAGTGAACATAATTTTAGAATTTTGGAATACATACTAAAACTCTAATATAGTGTGCTTGAAAAATCACATTCTTAGCTGTCCAAAGGCCTGCATTGGTTTTGTGACTTGTCAGCCTTGAGATCTGAAATATGTGGCAAATGGTTTGCACATATTAATATTTAATAATATGTAGTAATATTTACATTGAAGCATAACTAGATCGGACTTTATTGAAAGGTTTACACTTTTAAATTTTGTACGGAGTAGTTTTTTTTATCATGTTGTGGCTTTTTGCTAAATAAGTAAAACTAATGACAGATGACATCTGTATTAGGAATTAAATATGAGCTTGCAGATTTGGTCATTCTTATACTTCAATAACTGCTTGTAGCCTTGTACATATGTTTAAAATCCATTTTGGAATCAATTCTTTTATTTGCTGGTGTGTATCTAAAGCTTTCAGATACTGGAAAAATATGCTTCTAAAATCTATATGACCAGTTAAGGTGGGTTATGCAGTTACCGACCAAAACCGAACTGCAATTTATGGTTGGTTATAGTGATGTTATTGGTCGGTTATTAGAGTAAAAATATTAGTCAGTATTCGATTATCAGTTGGTTATTTGACAAGCCAAACGATGAACCTCACCTCTAGGTCTCCTTTCCTTTCATTTCTCAACGCAAAGTTTTTATTATCAAATCATACCAACTGCTCTCAACTTTGTAAGTTGAATCCTGAAATTCCTAGAGGGGTTATCTCAACTTCAAATGGCTCAGGGCTTCAGGGGTAGTTCGATTTTGATGTTCTTTGAATCGATTGATGTGATAATTTCAAGGAAAAATGAACAAGAATAATCCCAACTATTAGTGATCTGCTTGAAATAATCCAAAGTACTAATTATCTCAAAATAATCCCAACTATTGAAAAATCTTCTCAAAAAACTCCGGTGACTCATAAATTACGGATAATTATAAGTCACCGGAGTATTTTGAGAAGATTTTTCAATAGTTGGGATTATTTTGAGATAATTGATGCTTTGGATTATTTCAAGCAGATCACTAATAGTTGGGATTATTCTTGTGCATTATCCTAATTTCAATGGTTCTCAAGTACTTCATATTATTTCAACTGGGTGAGTGTTTTCATTTTTGTGGGCAATTTCGCCACAGAAGTCACGGCTTCTCTCATTTTTTCCCCATAGAATGTATTTTCCTTTGATTTCCCACTGATTTAGGCTCTGTTTTTGCTTGTTCTACTTCTTGCACCAGTGGTGATATATAAGTTATTTACACAAGGCGTACAATAAAAACAGATAGGAGGAAAAAGAAAAAAAGGAATGGCAGACAAACCTAGCAGAGGTCTAGTGCTGTATGGAGATGGACTGGCCCGATCCGTATTGCCATCTCATACCCATCTCCATTCTCTTGCTTCTCGGGCCTGCTCTGGCTTCTTGTCTCTCCCTGACTCGTCTCCTTCAGGTTTGCCCCACAACTATTTCTTTGTGTTTTCTCTAATATTCATAGTTAATGTCCGTCTGTTGGCATGGCCATATTGGCCATCTTTTCAGTCGTACCAGATTACACAGTCATTGTTTCACTATTTTCTTGTGTTTTTGTCAAAATGGTTTGTAAAGTAAGGCTAAACTTGCATGTGTCAGTAAAAGTGATTTGTTTTAGAGATTATAGAGAAAGTGCATGGTAAAAGTTAGTAGTGTTTGAAAATGATAGTGATTTGAGAAAGTATAGAGCATTTTTGGAAAAAGAATTTGCTGTAGTATTATAGACAAAGTGAGTTTAAACGCCCTACCTATTTCATGCTTTAGCTAAAAGTTAATCAGAAAAACACAACTTAGAAGCTATTGCAAACACTCCTTAAGTTGTGTTGAGAGTGAATTTAGGTTCTTATTGTTGCTTGAGCCATTGAAGTATATAAATCTCCAACCCACTGGAGGTCAAAGTGTTGAATATCCTTCACACAAAACAATTTTGTTATGTAGGACCCACATTTTCTCTTTCGATTTTTATTTTTAATTAATTATATTTCTCTTATCCTACTTTTCAACTACTTTTTCATTTTGAATTGTCTGAACTTGTGTAAAGTCCGTACATAAACCATACATAATTCACAAATTTATCTATATCTCTTAACTCATTTTCCCGACATCTGTTGCCATTCATATTACATAAAGAACAGGGAGAACTATCAAATAAGCCATCGAACTTTCATAAAAAGTGCAAATAAGCCCTTTTACAGGAGGCTTTGTCCGTCTGTCGCCATTTGGGGCGGTTTCCGGTGGAATTTTTTGATAAATTTTTTTGAGCATCTTCTTCATTAAGTCTAGTTTGCCCATATCAAATGTCAGCTAAAAATTCAATCGAGAAGGCAGTCAAATGATTTTCTGAAATATACTGCGCTGCCTAACTGCGCAGTATCTTCAAAAATTCATTTGACTGCCTTACAAATTGATTTTTTTGCTGAAATTTGGTATGAGTAAACTAGACTCAATGAAGAAGATTCTCAAAAAAATTCATCAAAAAAATCCACCGGAAACCGCCCCAAATGGCGATGGCCGGGCAGAGCCACCTATAAAAGGGCTTATTTGCACTTTTTATGAAAGTTCGAGGGCTTATTTGATAGTTCTCCCTAAAGAATATTATACTCTCCTTATCTCTCTTTCGTTACATGAGATGGTTCTCCTAAAATCCACCCTCCAATCAGAGATGCTTTAAGAGAGTTGCAGTTTGAGTCTGCTAGATTTAAGTGTATTATTCTTTTGGTGTTTGAGTGTTTCTTTTGGCTAGAGCACTCACAACAACCTGAATATCTCCATATTTAGTCGTACGTATGTTTGTTCAAATAGGTTTATTTAACCTTAATTGATGATCAAGAACCGAGACTCTTTTTAGGATATTACTGTTGTTTCTTTGAAAATTTTAACTCCACTTGTTGAAATAACTCTAATAAGACCCTTTTTGGGTTGGCACTTGGCAACACTTTTTTTTCTTTTTGAGGGATGGAGGAAGAAATGTTAAGTCATCCCAGAACGAATAAATATGAAGTGTAAAAAATTAAAAATACATTACTAACATATACGGAGTAAGGTTTTGGGAAAGTTCTCTCTTAAAGTTGACCTTTTAAGATGAAACTGTAAGTTGTTTCTGTGTTTCTTTGTGTTGTGCAATGATGCTGAAACTAACACGGATATTAGTTTGCAGAAAATGAGGATGCAAGAATAGTCAGAGAATTTGCAGAGCTACTTGATTCAAGGGAAGCTTATAATAAAATGGTGAGAAACATTTGTTCTATTTGTAATGCTTAGTGAAGATGAACAAGTTGTTTTCATTCTTTTGGTGTGATGAATAGATAGATGGTACTAAAGATTTTTGTTTGTGGCTTTTAGAATGAAGAAGATATTTCTGAACTGAGATCTCAGAAGACGCTTCTGAAGATGACTATATCTCATAGGTAAACTTTATCCAATTCTCACTCTTTATGTGTGTTGCACAGTGTGATATAATACTACAGGAACAACAACATCCAAGCCTTATTCCCAAAGAATTTGGGGTCAACTAACATGAATCGATCCATGATATCAAAACAAAAAACAGAAGATAAGAAAAACAAAAAAAAGATAAAGTAAAATAAAAAGGATAAGATAAAGATAAATATAAGAAAAAATAACATAAGAACATAAGAAAGATAAAAGAGAAAAAGATAAAAGATAAAAATAACATAAGAATATAGAAAGATAAAGAAGATAAAAAAAGTGAGATAGAAAAGAGAAAAAAAATAATCAATCGTCCGCACGAATATGCGCCTTACGCTTTGCTCTCTCCAAAGCCATACTCTCATCCAACAGTGTGATATAATACTATAAATATTAAATGTGTAGTGCATCTAATCTTAAGCTTTTAGTTGACACCAATTACTATGTCCAATCTCTTCGATTTCTGGATATAGGTTCATGGGATGGAAGATGCTATTTTCACTTGGAGTTCAAGTTTGTGTAATTTGTTTATTTGGCATGCTGAAGTATACTCTATATAATTTGATCATCACCCGCACGGGTAGCTCAGTTGATTGAGCGGTGGGAAAAATTGGACGTAGACCAAGGTTCGAATCCCGCAACGGCCAAAAGGGGGTTGTCAGAACCTGAAATAAGGCTGGCCCTCTGGTGCGCACGGGTAAAGGCTTACTGCCGCTTTGCTGACTTAGTCACCGTGATTAACTTCCCCACCATCTTGTCGGGGTGGGGGGCTTTGGGGTTGGGCATTCAACTTTTTTGGACGTATATAATTTGATCATTTTAATCTTCTTTTGCGTCCATGCAAATATACCTCATATTTATATTTTAGGTTCTTGTATTTCTTTCTCGTTATTCATCACTAATTTACATTGTTTTTGTTAGAAATCCGGACCGGCTCAGACCTCAATCACCACAAAAGCCCAAGGGCTTGCTCACACTCACCACCAGAGTTACAACCAGGGAAGATGAAGGGCGACAGCCAACAAACCCTCACAACCAGAACCCAGACACCAGCCCAGAAGACCCACCGGAGAAGAAACCAACTCACCACACTACCAGACTAGAGTGAAGACCCCCAAGGGATCCCCAACGTATCACCAGAGTATAGCCGGAGCTAATACTCTCAAAGAACTGTATCTCTCTCACTCTAGGTCTAGGGAAACCAACCGATTGCCTCATCGGAAGAGGGAAGAAGGGGAGGAGTCAAATAGGAACTTCGAGAAAGAACCAGACAATATAAGAGAGGGCCACACGTGCATGGGCTAGGAATAAAACAAGGGAAAGGGAATAGGCTTGGTCTGGTTGCCAGCCCAGTTGGGCCAGAACATTAAATAGGAGACCAGCATAATAAATGAGGTGGACCAAAGACATAGAGGTGGCCCGGGTGAGGTGGACCAATACCATCAACAATCTCCACCTTATTGGTCCCCCCTGGTGGTGTAGAGCACAACGTGAACCAGAACATTAAATAGGAGACCAGCATAATAAATGAGGTGGACCAAAGACATAGAGGTGGCCCGGGTGAGGTGGACCAATACCATCGCCGGTTTTTCTTGTTTTACAGTTCTTATCTAGCCACAATCTAAATTAAGAATACGTTTACAAGACAACAGTTTTTCAAAAGTGAGACATTTAGTCCCCATATCAGTAGGATTAAATTCAGAAGGTATCTTGGACAGCTTTATCCAACCCGCATCCACAATATTTCTTATAAAATGAAACCTGACATCAATGTGCTTTGTCCTGTCATGGAATACAGGATTTTTGCACAATTGGATACAGACTGACTATCAGAGTAGACTGTCACAACCTGCTTAAGAAAACCAATTTCAGTTAGCATTCGTTTAAGCCAAATAGCCTCTTTAAAGGCCTCAGTGGCTGCCACGTATTCAGATTCAGTAGTGGACAGTGCAACAATAGGTTGTAGTTGAGATTTCCAACTTATGTAGGAACCACAAAGAGTAAAAATGTAGGAAGTAGTAGACTTTCTATTGTCCCTATCATTTGCATAATTGGAGTCAACATAGTCAGTAAGTAAAATGCCAGTTTCAATTTTAGAAAATACAAGACCATGAGAAGATGTACCCCTAAGATATCTAAGGAGCCATTTAAGGGCAGTCCAGTGAGACATACCAGGGTTTGCCATATATCTACTTAAGCAGTTAACAACATAAGATATATCAGGCCTTGTGCTTACCATGAGATACATGACTGACCCTATAGCACTGGAATAGGGTACAGACTTCATCCTATCTATCTCAGGAGCAGTCCTTGGGGACTGGTCCTTGCTTAGCACCTATGTAGCACGGAAACTCTCGGGAAAGAGTACGTTTCCCGTTTCGGAAACTCTCGGAAACCCTTTGGAAACTCTCCAAATAAGCGTTTCTTAAGCAAAAGTTGACGTTTCCCGTTTTCCCGTTTCCTTATGATTTTCACGTTTCCGTGCAACATAGCTTAGCACAAAATGGGGTGCTAAAGGAACATTCACAGGTTGGGCAGAGTCAATTTTGAACTTTTTCAAGACCTTTTCTAGATAGGAGGTTTGGTTCAGGGTAAGGGTACACCTACTCCTATCTCTAAGTATATTAATCCCTAGGATTCTCTTAGCATCTCTAGGGTCTTTCATAGCAAAGTTTTCACAAAGGCACTTTTGAACAATCTTAATAGCATTCATAGAGGGGCTAATGATAAGCATGTCATCAACATAGATCAACAAGAAAACAGGTACAAAGGCAGTATTCTTAAAATACAAACAAGGGTCAGAATCAGACCTTTTGAAACTCAGAGAAGCCATACACTGGTCAAACTTGATATTCCATTGTTTGGGAGACTGTTTCAGACCATAAAGGGCCTTCCTAAGTAGACAGACATGTCTAGGGTACTTAGGGTCAACAAAACCCTCAGGTTGGGTCATGAAAATCTGTTTATCTAGTTCACCATGCAGGAAAGCAGTGGTAACATCCATCTGCTTCATCTCCCAGTCATTATGGGCAACTAGGGCAAGCATCATCCTAATTGTGGTGAATTTTACTACGGGAGCAAAAATTTCAGCATAGTCTACCCCTTCCTTTTGAGTGAAATCTTTTGCCACTAACCTAGCTTTAAACCTAATGTCATTAGGTTCTTCTTTAACTTTGAAAAGCCATTTGCACTCAACAACAGAACAATTAGGAGTCCTAGGAACTAGGGTCCAGGTTTTATTCAACTTAAGAGAATCTATTTCACTTTGCATAGCACTTAGCCAATTTTTAGATTCTCTAGAGGCAAGGGCTTCCTGGTAGGTTTTAGGCTCATTCAACTCAAGAGTTTCAAAAACAGAGAAAGCAAATAAAGAAGTATCATAGAAGTGAAAAGCATAGTCAGTCATGCTATCAGAAATCTTCTTTATGTTTCTTCTAGTCCTATCTCTGGCTAACACATAATCATCTAGACTTTCATTCTCAACTTGGATTTCACCAAGTTCTTCATTATCAGCAAAATCAGATTGAACAATCACATCATGCAGATTTTCATCATTATTATTAGAACCACTGGGCAGCTCCACCTCACTGGAGGTGGAGTGGGTGTCATGCATAGTGTTGGTCAAGTCAGGAGCATCAAACTCATTTAACAGAGGGGCGACAACGGTCTGTATAGGCTCCACCTCACTGGGAGAGGTGCCATCATGCACAGTTTGAGGGTCAGTCACTTGTTTATCTAAGCAGGGAAAATCACTTTCATTGAACACAACATTCCTGCTTATAATGACCTTAAAACCACTCTGGTTTCTATCCCAGATCCTATACCCTTTAACACCTTCAGGATATCCTAAGAAAATACATTTCTTAGACCTAGGGTCCAGCTTATCAGTCTGTTGGTGTACATAGGCAGCACACCCAAACACCTTTAGGTGTGACAGGTCAATGGGTTTCTTAGAGAAGACAGCCTCAGGGCATTTACCATCTAAGGGTACAGAAGGAGATCTATTTATCAAGTAGGTGGCAGTGTTGACAGCTTCTCCCCAAAACTTCTTGGGGAGGCCAGAAGTGGCAAGCATACTCCTAACCTTGTCTAGGAGGGTCCTATTCATTCTCTCAGCCAAGCCATTTTGTTGGGGAGTGTAGGGCACAATTTTGTGTCTCCTAATCCCACTCTCAATACACAACCTATCCATATCCTTATTGCAGAATTCTAGTCCATTGTCAGTTCTAAGGGTTTTAACCTTACATCCAGTTTGATTTTCTACCATAATTTTCCATTCTTTAAACCTAACATACACATCAGATTTATGTTCTAACAAACAGACCCAGACTTTTCTAGAAAAGTCATCAATTATGGACAGAAAATACCTCCTACCCCCATGGGTAGGGACACTGGAAGGACCCCATACATCTGCATGTATGTAGTCAAGGACAGCTTTGGACTTAGGCTCACTAGAATAGCTAGAAACAGGAAGCTGAACCCTATGTTGTTTACCTAAGACACAACCTTCACAGAAAGGTATAGGTGACACCAAGTCATTACCAAAACATCCATTTTGTTTCAAAATGTTTAATCCTCTATTACTCATGTGACCTAGTCTTTGGTGCCAAAGCACAGACTTGTCACTAAGTACAGCATTAGCATTTTCAGAAAAAGGTTTGGCATGCACAACATAAAGGTTATTTTGTTTCAAAGCTTTAAACAAAACAAGGGAGTTTTTCAGAATTTTCACACCCATTACCCCATTGACCCTCAAGACCACATTCTTCAAAAGCAGAGACTGAAAATAGGTTGTGCCTTAGATCAGGTACATGCCTGACATTTTTAATTTGAAAAACAGTTCCATTTTCAAATTTTAGACAGATGTCACCAATACCAAGGACCTTACACCTTTTACTATCAGCTAAGGAAACAAAACTAGTTTCACATAAGTTATAGGAGGAAAACAGATTCCTAAAAGGGGTCATATGGTAGGTACACCCAGAGTCTATTAACCATTCAGATTCAGTCAGACTACTAAGCACAGAATTGGCTTGATCACAGACCATAAAGACTTCTTCCTCTACAGGTTTACTAGTCACAGCATTAGCTTGGTCATTTCTCTTAGGTTGGGTGCAATCTTTTATGAAGTGTCCTGGGTTACCACTGTTATAGCAGACTCTTTTCCTAGACTTATACCTCTTCTTACTAGGTTGTCTACCATTCTTATCCTGATTGTCCTTTTTAGGGTGTCTAGACCTGCTTTTAGACCTTCCCCTAACAAACAAAGCTTCTCCAGATTCCCTATGATGGTTCCTAGAATGTTTTAAGTCAAGTTCTTTACTTCTCAGGCCATTAATAACAATATCTAGGGTTATGTCATCCCTCCCATATTTAATGGCTGACTTAACATCATTATAGGAATCGGGTATAGCATTCAGTAAGACTATGGCAGTGTAGTCATCTATATGTTTATCCCCAGCCTGCTTAATGTTTTGGATTAGTTTATTAAAAACATCTAGGTTTTCATCAATATCTTTTGTTAGGTCAAGTCTGAACCTAAAAAACTTTTCCAACAAAAACAGTTTGCCAAGAAGGGAAGTATCAGTATATAGAGACTCAAGTTTATCCCAGAGGTCTTTAGCAGACTCAATGACTCCAACCTTTCTAAGGACAGAGTCAGACAAGTTTAAATATATGGTTGAGCAGGTTGTTTCATTCATTTCAACTTGTTTAGGTTTTTCCTCAGTTTCTAAGTATTGTCCAGTAACAGCTCTATATACTTTCTGTTGAATTAACACACATTTTATTTTCTGTTTCCAAATATCAAAATCAGTCTTACCATTAAAAGGCACCATACCATACTGGTTTGAAGCCATGATAACAGTCAAAACAAAACTGCTGAGATACAGGTAATATAAAGGTTAACCCTAGTGGTTTGGGCTGCGGACTAAGTGACCACGCGGTTCCGGGGCCACTGAAGTGGCTGGCAGGGAATCACTTAGCCCTAACCTCAGGTGCCCTAGCCAACTAGGGGTTAGAAAGCCACACAATTACCAGAACTCAACACCAAGCACAGGAAATTGACAGACTGACTGAGCAGAGAAATAACACAAATAATACAACAGAAATAGGGCAAGCTACAGCAATACAGAGACAGGTTCTGAGGTAATCACACAGAGAATGAATTTAGCAACACAAGTTCACATATAAACCAGTGACCAAGTTCGACACAGATTGGACCACTCATGCACTAGTTCAACAGACCTAGGGTTTCTGCAGATCTGTCTAGACAGAATCTGCACAGGCAAAGGGAAAAGCTAAGGTTTCTAACCGGCAGTTCCTCAACCTAGGGTTTCAGAACTACCCATGCATCACAGAAGCCAGTGGCACTCCGGCAGCCCAAAGGTTAGGGTTTTAGTGTTATACCTGAGCGGGTGTCCAGCAAAGACAACCCGACTTACCAACTTCGATGGAGCTGCAGTTGTTTCCGGTGTGGGAGTTGTCCAGCGAGCTTCCGGCGTCAGCGAGAGGCAACAGCGTCCAGGCTTTGATACCACTGTTAGAAATCCGGACCGGCTCAGACCTCAATCACCACAAAAGCCCAAGGGTTTGCTCACACACACCACCAGAGTTACAACCAGAGAAGACGAAGGGCGACAACCAACAAACCCTCACAACCAGAACCCAGACCCCAGCCCAGAAGACCCACCGGAGAAGAAACCAACCCACCACACTACCAGACTAGAGTGCAGACCCCCAAAGGAACCCCAACGTATCACCAGAGTATAGTCGGAGCTAATACTCTCAGAGAGTATCTCTCTCACTCTAGGTCTAGGGAAACCAACCGATTGCCTCATCGGAAGAGGGAAGAAGGGGAGGAGTCAAATAGGAACTTCGAGAAAGAACCAGACAATATAAGAGAGGGCCACACGGGCATGGGCTGGGAATGAAACAAGGGAAAGGGAATGGGCTTGGTCGGGTTGCCAGCCCAGTTGGGCCAGAACATTAAATAGGAGACCAGCATAATAAATGAGGTGGACCAAAGACATAGAGGTGGCCCGGGTGAGGTGGACCAATACCATCAACAGTTTTTTCAGTTCAACTCTATCAACCTCAATTTTAAAAAAATCATGGCCTCAAGTGCCTGGTTTGAGTTTTCGAAATCATTTCGTATTGCAAAAAAAAGCTTAATATTTTATTTTCTAGAGAACGAGACGTGTACGTTGAGGAATGGTGAGCTCAGTTTAGCCTAACTGAAGTTCTATGAGTACACCATTTAAAAAAAAAACAGAGGTTGATGTAGAGGAACTAAAGTGTGGTGATTTATTACAAAGAAATTCTAAGCGTACTTTAAATGTGGTCCATCTATCAGTTTAAGATTTAAGTTGTTATTGCTCTCTAAATCCAATCTTTTTGGATCTAGGTTCATGGGGATGAAAGCGGCTATTGTGACTGACAATCCAATACTGAAGGCGTTCTGCGACCGGCTTGGCTTGACCACGTTTGGGGCACATGGTTTACTACACTGCAATAGCCTGGAAGTCAAACCACCTGTATCGGCCTTGGAATTGCTAGGGCTTCAATATGGGAAGGTTTCAGAGATGAGCCGATTTGATTTAGTTATTCTTCATGTTGAAAGCATAGAAGATATCAATGGCCTGGTAGGTGAGTTGTTAATAAGGATGGCCCAACCCGGGACTGAAGTTGGGTCCCGGTTGCACCTATCTGTTGTATTGAGCTTTGGGGCAGTTTCAGACAACGAAGGTTCCAAGTTTTCTTTTTGTAACAACATTAGAAATGAGAGTAATTCCCAGCTTCCCATGCTTTTCCCATGCCAAAGTTACACAATGAAAGGTGGAAAAACGCGTGAGAATGTTAGGTGCGTAACACCTACCCCCTTGCATCCGGTGTGTGTGTAATTAAATGACCTTTTGTCATCCGGTGTGAAATTTTTATATATATAATGTGTCCGTTCACAGGCATCATTGTCCGATGTTAGTTGCTCAATGGCAAGACGGTGTAACTAGGAAGGATGCCGTTGGAGCATTTTCATTTGAAGATATTAAAGAGGTGTGTTCTTTTTTCTTTTTTACTTCACTTAACTTTTAGTTTTGCTGACTCGAGTGTAAAAAGAAAAACTGAACTTATCATTAGTAGTCACTAGTTACATAAATGATTTGTTGTTGTGACTTGTGGATGCTATGCAGGAGGGTGGAAATCTCGTGATTCCAGCTGACAGGTTCCTACACGAATTGGCATTTAAGCTTTGGAAAGCTCCAAAATATGGAGCGTGAAGATCCACATGTTTCCTTTTCTTTGGCATACGAGGCATGAATAAGGAACTAAGTGATCATTTAGAAAAAGGGTTAATTTGGTTTTTCAAGTTACATTGTTTAAATGCTCCAACGTGATTCCATCAGAAATATTGCCGTTGGAGCATTTTCACATTGTTTAAATAAATTAAATACGACAATATTTAAGCAATATTTCCATTGATACGGCCAATGGGGAGTGTTCTGTAGTTAAAGAAGCTTGACAGTGCAGAAAGTAGATGATTTCATCTTCAGAACATTATTGCCAAAATCAAACTCCCCTTTCTCGATCTGAGAAATTTCTTCACTAATGGAAATAAGTGCGTGGTAAAACCAGTTTAACTCTGCCTGCAGAAGTTAAAGACATCTATAACATCAGAAACATAACTGAAGAAAAAGAAATCCCGTCTTTGTTGCAAAATGGGTTGCCAGGTTCATTTGGCTAAATTTATGATTTACCTTACCTTTTATATGGAGTAATAGTTAACATAGCTTTAATTAGATATTTAAAATTACTCCAAAGGTACTTGAAGTATAGCAGTGTGTGTGTGTGTGCAGTGTGGGTGCGCGCATAATACCAAATTGATGGGCAAAGTCAACTAAAATGGCAAGACATGTAGTCATGTACCACATTACATGATACCAAAAAAATCAGGTTATTAATAATGTTTTGTTTGCATAAGAGGAAATAGGCGAGATATAATTATCTATTTTGTACAGAGTATTAGTTGTCATAGTGATACAAAATGTAAGCCTCATTGAATTTTGTGTTGCTTTTACTTCTATTTCATGAATTTTCCGCATTTCTAACAACTTTCTTTCCTCCAAGCTAGTAGGTCATGTCGACAAATTAGCTTTTGCAGAACAAAGAAATATAGTGCTACAATAGTAAGCTATTTGTTTGAAAATCACAAGCACACTAGCTAACAAAAACCAATCGAGTTATACCAGTTATATTCATTTTTTGAGTCGAAGAATGATGAAGATTAGCCTTATTATCGCGTCTAACCTACTCTTCATTGGTTCTGCTCGCTTCTTCTTCAAATCAGCAACGATGGCATTGGGAGAGGATGCAATGTGGGATCATGAAGTTCATGGGGAAGAATTAATGCCACATGGATCCGCAAAAACTAAGACCATATCAAATAGTTTCTTTTGAGGACTTGCTTGCAATTTTAAATCTAATAGTTTATTATTGGTACAATTCTTTTCCTTTTGCATGATAAAGCTAATTAGCCAAAACGAGCTATTAGCTTGAACAAAGAGAATTATTAAATATAACATTATTAATAATAAATGAAGAAGAAGAAGTTATAGCTAACTATTGGAGTACATTTCAATTTTGCTGCAAATGTTTAGTTGGAGATGCTATAAGAGGTTAAGAGGTTTGAATTGAGCTAAAATGTTGGAGGTTTAATAAAATTGAGACATGAAAAAAGAGATAATTTATTAAGAAAGGTGAGTCTATATATAGGTCTAAACTAAATTAAAGGTGCACTATACAATTGGGATTTTGATTTCTAGATATTTAGAAGGTTTCGTTCAATTTAGAACCATGGTCAAGTTATAGGTCTCAAAGTACTACAACAATGTTTAAAAGGCATCCAAACTCCAAAGGTGCCACAAAGCAAGCATAGAGGAGTCAGGCAAAAACACCTCGCATGTACACTATCCCAGATAAACGGCGTGCATGACCCAACCACAAATTATTAACGGAGCACACTTCTTTACCTGATGTTGATAGTGTACCTAGACATGTCAACGGGTTGGGTACGGGTCGGAACGTAGTATCTCAGACCCGGACCTGTTAGCCTCTATAGGGTTCCAGACCTAACTCATATACTCGACGGGTCTAGAACTAATGTTCTGGACCCATACCCATTGGGTCTCGGAACCGGGTCGGATAGATCCGACCCGTCTTACGAAAATCTAAATGGGAAAATGAAAACAAATAATCCAATCTTTTGGCGGTTTTCTTACAATAGTCCCACCTTTTGATTATTCATGAATAATCCAACCTTTGCACATCATCTTCATTCACTGGTCCCTGACCGATTTATGACCTGTTAATCCAAGTTATTTTCTTATCTTTGTAAAACATTATACCATAATTCTCACCTTATGATCACATAATGTTTTGAAAAGATAAGAAAATAACTTGGAATAACAGGTCATAAATCGGTCAGGGACCAGTGAATGATGATGGGGTGCAAAGGTTGGATTATTCATGAATAATCAAAAGGTGAGACTATTGTAAGAAGAACGCTAAAAGGTTGGATTATTAGTTTCCATTTTCCCAATCTAAATCTAATTTCTTAAATAAAAAACAGGACCTCTTACTACCGAGTACTTTTCTAGCAACAATATGGCACATGAACTGTAATTACTTGTCTGTAATTACTCAACCAAACGCAACAATTGTGAGTTGGTTTATAATTTGCAAGATACGTAGTGTTAGAATAAAGAGTAAAATTAATGGCTTTGGAAACTGAACAGACTTTTTCTTGAATCCTCTGTGGTCTGCGGACTCTATGGTCTCTAGGGATCCTTCTTCAGATTTATTAAACTAAATCGTAATGTGGGCGTCAACTAATGTAATATGTATATTAGACTAATGTGTGTGTGTGTATTAACGAGTCGGGTCCTAAACGGGTCGGAACTATATATACCATACCCGACCCATTAAATAACGCGTCCGGATCCGGGTCCGAGTAATAGAATTAAATGTAGATCTATACCCATTAAAAAGGACGGATCTGGGTCGGGTTTGAGTCTGGACCCGACCCATTGACAGGCCCAAGTGTACCTCGCAAAGTTGAACATTATGTCCAAATAAAAAGGCTAATGTTCAACTGGTTCCATGGTGACCGGAGGAACTAATTGACTGAAAGTAAACTATTTCAGCCAATTTTGAACTGATCTGCCCTGCCAAACATACCTCAAGTCAGTGGCGGATTTTGAATTTCCATTTTGGGTGTTCAATTTGTTTTTACAATGAAGAAGTTAAAGAACAATAAATAATTACACTAAATTTACCTACTTATACTTGCCATTTTTCAAATTTTTGGGTGTTCATGTGAACACTTTTGAACAATGGTGGCTCCGTCCCTGCCTCAAGTCAACATGGTGACTGGAGGAACTAATTCCGATTGGTATGCTTCCATTAACCCTCGATTTTTCACTATTGATAATTAAAATGAGTGACTGATAGATACATGAGCGAATGTGCATGTATGTGTTGATAAATCGTTGTTTCTTATAAGCATGCAGTTGGGAGAACAGTGATGATGGGAAACACAAGTGCCGCTAATGTCCAAGGAATTGGAAAAGTGGAAATAAAGTTTCCTTCAGGAAAAAATTTCTCTTTGCATGGGGTGCATCATGTTCCCAAAATTAGAAGGAACATTATTAGTGCTTCCATTCTTGTAAGGGAGGGTTATGAATTGTCTTCTAAATTAAATAAAGTTATAATTTTATTTGGTGGAACTTTTATTGGCGAGAGTTACCTGTCAGATGAACATTTAAAATTGTGATTGATTATTTGGAATTAAACACCATTATTTTAACGGTGAATTAAATCGAATTGTGATTCTTGAACTTTATAGCATTATCGTTTGGGTCATGTTAATTTAGATTCTGTGAAAATAATGGTGAATTTAAAACTAATCTCTAAACATTATTGATAAAACAAACAAATGTATGGTATGTGCTACTACAAAACAAGTAAAATACCTTATCATTCAATGGAAAGAAATTCATAATTACTTGATTTAATTCATAACGACATTTGTGAGTTTAATGAGATACTGACTCGTGACAAAAGGGAATACTTTATCACTTTTATTGACGACTATCTATATACTGTTATGTGTATGTACTTGGGTAAACATGAAAGTCTTGAAAAATTCTTAATTTTTAAGAATGAAATAGAAAATCAAATTGACAAGAAAATTAAAAGGTTAAGATCTGATAGATGAGTAGAGTATACTTCTAATTTAGTTGTACTAGAATGCCAAAAATATGGTATAGTACATGAAGCAACACCTCCTTATTCACCATAATCAAATGGAGTAGCTGAACGGAAAAAAGAACTTTTAAAGATATGATTAACAATTTATTAGTGAATTCTGGATTATCTAAGTTTATGTGGGTGGAGCCTTGAATACGGCCTGCCATATTCTGAATAGGATTTCCATAAATCATAAAAATAGTTTTTCATTGGAACTCTTGACAGGTAGAAACCAAGTTAAAAATAGTTTAAAGTGTGTGACTACCTTGCAAAAGTGTTGTCATGTTGGAGAGTCATCTGGTTCATGGACAGATCTAAGGCGTATCTGGGTTCCGACTCACTCTAAATTCTAAATATGTCTAAAGAGTTTAGGTAAAAGTCTATGTAAAAATATTCTTTTTTATCGGATAAATTCGATTAGTATCCTTGCTTCACTTCTGATCTTGTTGCCACCGGATCAGATGAGAAGAGCAGGCATTCAAATGATATCACGAAGGAACAATATAATGTTGACAGCTCACCTACATGACTACATGTTATTCAAGGAACAATGTTAACAGCTCACCTACATCCTATTCCATCCGTCCCATATTTTGTCTTATGTATGTCACAAAGTGAATGTTCAAGAGTTTGGAGGGAGGGAAAGGAAATTTTTTGAAGGTTAGGTGTGAGAGAGGAATGGGAGGAGAAGTGAAAAATACCCTTATTTTTTTAAGAATTTAGAAAGAATAGAGCTACATAATTATAAATAACATTGTTTAAGATACATATCAAATTCAAATAGTTTTTTTTCGGAAGAATTTAGCTTAAATTGAAATCCCAACATTCAGAGTATGGATAATCTGACAAATAGAATCCTGACAACCGCTGTCCCGCGAACCAGACTCAGAGTTAATCACCTTATCCAAAGCAATATAACTCGCTGATCCATTAATGGGTACAAATGAGCCATAAACGGTTACCCTAATTCCACTATCACCCACATCCAAACTCAATGGCTTACAATCAG